AAAAAAAAAAAAAAAAAAAAAAAGCTCTCTAAGTATGTGAGAAATGAAAAAAAGATGGGAGGAGAAAAGAAAACTAAAAGAAAAGTTACCAGGACAACTGACTTAATGTAGGTTGGTTTTTAAATAACAAAATTTAGAAATTGTAATATAGCCAAGGAAGATTTCAGGAGAGCTTTAATTTAATAACAAAGCTATTTTTAACTTGCATGTCATTCTTAGTGCTTAATAAGAAATATGCAAATTATATTTTATTTTAGAATTTGTAACGATGGTAAACACTGCTTTGTGTTTTCAAAATGAGGGAAATGAGGCCAGAAATTCTGTGCTGTTTAACTGTCTGACAGAACTGTTGCCTGCTGCCTCGCACTACCTGCAACAGGAAGTGACTGTCTCATAAATATTGTGAAGTATGAAATTAGAGCAAAATCTTTAGTCAGACTTGTTTTATTTGAAATGTTTCATTATTACATTTAATATCAGTTTTGATTCCACTTATTGAATAATAAAAACACTTAAAAAGAAGAAAAGAAATTGTAAAATTAATATATGAGTATGTAAAAAATTCAGGTAAAGAAATATTGTACTATGGAGTTTTGATCTTATTAAAATTCATTGGAAATAAAAGTCTGCAACATCATTCTGTGTAAATGTGTGGGCTGAGAAACAAACTTTTTATATAAATATGTGCAACAATATTTGTAACATACAAATAAATTTAGCAAGAATTTTCTGTGAACTAATGCAAAGGGAAGGATGCTAAATTATTTGTTAAAAACAGGAATTTAAATGTCAGAATTATTTAATATATGTTTAGCAAGTACATAAAATAAAAAGCCACTTTTTAAGAGCCAAAGGAATGGAATGAATTACAAAGGAAAATACTAATAGTTCTGAGTCTATACAAAATCTGAAATCTGTTTACCAAATGACAAATTTATCTCAAGGTATTAACATGAAAAATCTAAAATCAAAACAAAAGATATCAAAAAAAGACAAAAAAAATCCTTAGTGTGATTCTGGACAAAAATTAATATCTCTAAGGCTATGGTTGGCTCACATAAGCATACAGAAAACAGCTCTAAATAAAGACTAAAACAGATAATCCATAAAAAAAAATTGAGTAGATGCTTTTTTACTAAAGTAGCCATCCTACTGAGTAAAGTAGTATTCCTACTACTAAAGTAGTATTCCTACCGAGAAAGTGCTCATATACATTTGAACAATAGGGTTTTCACCAATCATGTTAGTTCATCATTTATAAGAGAATGAATTGCCTCTCTTTTGGCAAATGTAGCAAATGTACTGAGAAAGAAAGGTTCCTACATATTTGAAGTGCAAGTAGGGGCCACCTCTTTGGGAGAGAATTTGACCCAAAAGTATAAAGAGCCTATCAAGAGCCCCAGCTCTTTTATCCAGATCCTTCTGAGAGCTGAGAGTCACTCTGGAGTCTCAACATACCTGGAAGACACACTGTTTTCTTTGTGAAACAAGGCAACAGGTTCTTAGGGAGACCAATGCTGTATCCCCATGCCTCTGAATCTGCCCTGCTTCAGAGTGAGAAACTGAGATGAGTGGAGAAAGGCAGAGAAGAGAGGCAGAGAATTGCCTCCCAAAAAAAGATCTTGAGGAGAAAAGGCACAAGAAAAGAAGAGTTTTGGAGTGCAAAACCTTTATTTTATTTTTTTAAAGAGAAAAAAAGTAAAAATAAATGAAAATGATACAAAATTTCAGTAAACAAAATACTAGGAATACAACAATGGCTGTTATATTGCATAATATTGTCTTCTGATTAGTTGTTCAGATTACCAGATATAAACATGAAAAATTGGTTAAAAAAAGTTTTAAGAAGTTAAAAAGGAGAAAAAAATAAGCATTAACTGTTCCTTTCAATAGGCCAGCCAAAATCAGCAGTACAGTTATCCAAGCTATCTTGTACATACATGTATGTATATATGAAATATATATGAAA